ATTTTTTTATTTTTTGAATGGGTCTTGCACTGTCACCAGGTTAGAGGGCAGTGGCACGGTCTCAGCTCACTGCAACCTCTACCTCCCAGGTTCAAGTGATTCTCTTGCCCTCAGCCTCCCCAGTAGCTGAGATTACAGGCACCTGCCACCACACCCGGCTAAATTTGTATTGTTAGTAGAGACGGGGTTCACCATGTTGACCAGGCTGGTTCTCAACTCCTGACCTCAGGTGATCTGCCCATCTCGTTCTCCCAACGTGCTGGGATTAAAGGCATGAGCCGCGGCCGGCCCCTATATTATATATTTCAAAATTGCTAAAAGAATAAATTTTAAAAGTTCTCATACCAAAAAACGATAGGTATGTGAGGTGATGCATATGTTAATTGTCTTGATTTAATCATTCCACAATGTCAGCCAGGCGCGGTGGCTCACGCCTATAATCCCAGCACTTTGGGAGGCTGAGTGGGCGCATCACGAGGTCAGGAGATCGAGACCATCCTGGCTGACACGGTGAAACTGTGTCTCTACTAAAATGCAAAACAAATTAGCCGGGCGTGGTGGGCAGGAACCTGTAGTCCCAGCTACTCCGGAGGCTGAAGCAGGCGAATGGCGGTGAACTCGGGAGGCAGAGCTTGCAGTGAGCCGAGATCGGGCCACTGCACTCCAGCCTGGGCAATAGAGCAAAAAAAAAAAAAAAAATTATTCCCACAATGTCAATAATAAGTCAAAACATCATATATAGCCCATAAGCATATATAATTATTTTATGAATAAAATAAAAATAAAATCAATGACAGCAATGTAAAAAAAAAAAAAAAAAGAAGAAAGAAAAATGAGTAGTTTGTCTGGGAGTTTCCACTCTCGATCTTGCTGGATTGCCATAGAACAGGATTTAAATTCCAGCTGGATATTTCATCAGATGCATCCATTTTTTAGCATTTTTTTGAGTGATAAACTCGTTCCCTATAACAAATGTGCTATGATCATCCTTGCAGGGTCTTCCTTGAGAGAGTTAACCAGGAGCAGAATATTGGGTCAAACAAGAGGGAGGAGATGAAAGGTTTTGTTTGTTGTTGTTGGTTGGTTGGTTGGTTGGTTGGTTGGGTTTCGAGATGGAGTCTTGCCTGTTGCCCAGCCTGGAGTGCAGTGGTGCGACTCTCGCTCACTGCTACCTCTGCTTTCTGGTTCAAGCAATTCTCCTGGCCTCAGCCTTACATTTTGATAAGCAGTTGGCCATGTGGCTTCTGAACTTGAACCATCAGAAAATCAGATTTTCATGGGCTTATTCATTACAGGCACTCTGACCGCGTCCTGCGAGAGAGAGTTGTCCTGGCTCTCAGCGCTATGGGAGCAGGTGCTTCCTGGTCCTGCCTCTTGGGTAAGTTGAACTAAGAACCCCCTTCCCTTCTCCTCATGCCCCTGGTATCCTCGCTTGATTTACTCCTCAAACTGGCATTTCTCCAGCATTAACTGCGTGTGCCTCCTATTAGAAGCTCTCATCTCAAGTCAGGCTGGCTGCCCAAAAGCAGAACGAAACAAGGACTCGTGCGTAAATAGTTATTTGGGAGGGGATCCCAGGAAAGGAGGTGTGGGGAGTCACACAAGGAAGGTGAAGAGCTGCTCGAAGGGTGTGTTAGTGAGGGGGTACCACTGCAGGTAGGCAGAGTGCTGTCCTGCTAGGGACCTCCAAGAGACAGTGTAATTCCCACATTTCTGGCCTCCCCCTGGGGCAGTAAAATGCACTGTTGCAGAGAGAGACAGAAAGTCATCTGCGGCTGGGGCACGGTGGCTCACGCCTCTAATCCTGCCTTTAGGAGGCCAAGGCAGGTGAATCACTTAAGGCAGAGTTTAACCAGCCTGGCCAACATGGGTAAACCCATCTCTACTAAAAATACAAAATTATCCAGGCATGGTGGCAGGTGCCTGTAATCCCGCTACTTGGGCTGAGCGGGAGAATTGCTTGAACCTGGGAGGTGGAGGTTGCAGTGAGTCGAGAACATGCCGTTGCACTCCAGCCTGGGGCAACAGAGCAAAACTCTGTCTCAAAAGACAAAAAATGTTGCTAATGGAAATTAGGACCTATGGGGTTTCCATTATATTTTTCTTGAACAGTGTGTGGTTTGAGGTTCCGGACTGTTTTAAATAAACTGTTGAATATAGAAAGGGATTGCCACTGTGGCTTGGTGCTAGGACATAGAGGAAAGCTGAATTAGCTGCTGGGTTTTCTGAAAATGGGGAAACCCAGCTCCAATTAGATGCACTTCCCATACTTTAGAAGGTATATGATGTCCAAATTTGTGACTCTTGTGTTTATAACCTGCCTGGAAGACGCTATGGTGAAGCTTGCACGTGTGACTGGGCAGAGTTAGGGTTAGTCGCCCCTAACTCACCCAGCCTTCCAGCCAAGCAGAGTCTAGGGATCCCCGTTGAATGATCCCCTCCTCTTCTCTGTTTCCAGGTCTCACTGTCTTACTGGTTCTGCCAGGATCAGAAGCCGAGAATTCTGGGGTGAGTCTATTCATAGCCAAGCGGCCAGAGAAAAGAAAATTGGATCTGGAAGCTCCTTCAGAAGAAGGGAAGAAGCTTTTTCCAAGGAGACAGAGCGTGGAGTCTCTGGCACTTCCTTCTGGCTCCTTGGAGATCCCAAGAGCTGTTTTCCCATCTCCATCATCACCATCACCTGGCATTTACATAGCAAAGCACATCACCACATGCCATCTCAGTTAATCCCCATGACACTCCTACAAAGACAGCATGGGCATTATCCCCAGTTTGCTCGAGGGCCTCCAGAAAAAGTGGCTGGCTCAAGGTCACATGGCGGTGGTGGACGCTAGACTCTCCTCTTTCTTTCCCCAAGCCTGTGTCTTGAGTCATTCCAGGAATACTAAAAAAATTATTCCACAATGTCAACATAAGTCAAAACATCATATTATAGCCCATAAGCATATATAATTATTTATGAATTAAAAATTAAAAATAAATCAATGACAGCAATGTAAAAAAAAAAAAAGAAGAAAGAAAAAATGAGTAGTTTGTCTGGTGGAGTTTTCCACTCTTGATCTTGCTGATTGCCATAGAACAGGATTTTAAATTCCAGCTGGATATTTCATCAGATGCATCCATTTTTTAGCATTTGTTGAGTGATAAACTTGTTCCCTATAACCAAATGTGCTATGATCATCCTTGCAGGGTCTTTTCCTTGAGAGAGTTAACCAGAGGCCAGAATATTGGTCAAACAAGAGGGAGAGATGAAAAGTTTTGTTGTTTGTGGTTGGTTGGTTGGTTGGTTGGTTGGTTGGTTTCGAGATGGAGTCTTGCTCCTGTTGCCCAGCCTGGAGTGCAGTGGTGCGATCTCGCTCACTGCTACCTCTGCTGCTGGTTCAAGCAATTCTCCCTGGCCTTCAGCCTTACATTTTGATAAAGCATTTGGCCATGTGGCTTCTGAAACGTTGAACCATCAGAAAATCAGATTTCGGATTGGGCTTTATTCATTACAGGCACTCTGACCGCGTCTCGGCTTGAGAGGATTGTGTCCTGGATCTCAGCGCTTAGGGGAGGCAGGTGCTCCTGGTCTGCTCGTGGTTGGGTTAAGTTGAACTAAGAACCCCCTTCCCTTCTCCTTCAGTTGCCCTCTGGTTATCCTCGCTGATGACTCCTTCAAATCTGGCATTTTCCAGCATTACTCGTGTGTGCCTTCCTATTATGACAGCTCTCATCTACCAAGTCAGAGCGGGCGTGGCCCACAAAGCAGAACTGACAACAAGGACTCGTTGCGTAAATAGTTATTTGGGAGGGGAATCCCAGGAAAGGAGGGTTGGGGAGGTCACATCAAGGAAGGTGAAGAGCTGCTGCAAGGGGGTGTGTGGTAGTGAGGGGGTGTACCACTGCAGGTAAGGCAGGAGAGCTGATCCTGCTAGGGAGCCTCCAAGAGACAGTGTAATGGCCCACATTTCTGCGCCTATCCCCAGCTGGGGCAGTAAAAATGCGCACTGTTGGCAGGAGAGGACAGAAAAGTCATCTGCGGCTGGGGCACGGTGGCTCACGCAGCTAATCCTGCACTTTAGGAGGCACGAGGCAGGTGAATCACTAACGGTCAAAGGGAGTTTGAAACCAGCCTGGGCCAACATGGGTGAAACCCCATCTCTACTAAAAATACAAAATTATCCAGGCAGGGTGGTTGGCAGGTTGCCTTGTAATTCCCGCTACTTGGGAGGCGAGCGGCTGGGGGAGAATGCTTTGAACCTGGGGAGGTGGAGGGGGGTTGCAGTGAGTCGAGAACCGATTTGCCGTTGCACTCCAGCTGGGGCAACCAGAGCAAAACTCTGTCTCAAAAGAGCAAAAAATGTTGCTAATGGAAAATAAAGGACCTATGGGGTTCACATTATATTTCTTGAACAGTGTGTGGTTTGAGGTTCCGGACTGTTATTAAATAAACTGTTGGAATATAGAAAGGGATTGCCAACTGGGTCTTGGGGTGCTAGGACATGAGAAGAAGCTGAATTAGCTGCTGGGTTTTCTGAAATTGGGGAACCAGCTCCAATTAGATGCACTTCCATACTTTAGAAGGATATGATGTCCAAATTGAGCTCTTGTGTTTATAACCTGCCTGGAAGACGCTATGGTGAAGGCTTGCACGTGTGACTGGGCAGAGTTAGGGTTAGTCGCCCTAACTCACCCAGCCTTCCAGCCAAGCAGAGTCTAGGGGGATCCCCGTTGAATGATCCCCCTCCTCTTGCCTGTTCCCAGGTCTCACTGTCTTACTGGTTCTGCCAGGATCAGAAGGCCAGAATTCTGGGGGTGAGTCTATTCATAGCCAAAGGCCAGAGAAAGAAAATTGGGATCTGGAAGCTTCCTTCAGAGAAGGGAAGAGCTTTTTCAAGGAGACAGAGCGTGTAGCCAGTCTCTGGCACTTCCTTCTGGCTCCTTGGAGATCCCAAGAGCTGTTTTCCCATCTCCATCATCACCATCACCTGTATTTACATAGCAAAGCACATCACACATGCCATCTCAGTTAATCCCCATGACACTCCTACAAAGACAGCATGGGCATTATCCCCACTTGATCGAGGGTCCTCCAGATAAGTGGCTGGCTCAAGGTCACATGGCTGGTGGACGCTAGACTCTCCTCTTTCTTTCCCCAAGCCTGTGTCTTGAGTCATTCCAGGAAATACTTTGCCTTCACCACAAGCCATTGGCTGTGCGCGCCTTCCCCAAGAAGCCAGACCCTCGAGAGCGCAACCATTTGTTCTGGGAGGGAATCCTAGGAGGCACCAGCTGGGAGTGGGCAGTGGCATAGGAAGGGGAGGAGCTCATATTAGGATCCTTATCAAGCAAGTTACATGTGGGCAGCTGGAGTTTAATCCCTGAGGAAGCTGATTTGGGTGTGGCCATGGAGACAGGCACCTCATACCTCAACGGTAAGGAACCTATTGATTATGACTATGTTTCCAAATTGTGGTAAAATGTGGATAATGTAAAATGTAGCTTTATAACCATTGTCAAGGGTACAGGTAAATGCCATTCAACGTTTGCCACTGCTATGCAACCATCACCACCATCCACCCACAGTGTTCTTTCTAGTTGCAGAACTGAAACTCTGTGTCTATGAAAGCATGAACTCCCCATTCCTCCTCCCCAAGGCCCTGGCACCACCATTTCTACTTTCTGCTCTCTATGAATCCAGCGACTCTGGGCATCTCATAGGAGTGGAATCATACATTATTTGACGCTTTGCTTATTTCATGGAGCCATAATGTTCCCCAAGGGTTCATTTATGGTGTTAGCATGTGTCAGAATTCCATTCCGTTTTTTTTTTTTTTTTTTTTCTTTTTTGAGACTGAGTTTCGCTCTTGTTGCCCAGGCTGGAGTGCAATGGTACAATCTCGGCTCACTGCAACCTCAGCCCTCCTGCGGTTCAAGCAATTCTCCTGCCTCAGCCTTCCAAGTAGCTGGGATTATAAGCATTCACCACCATGCCCAGCTAATTTTTTTGTTTGTTTGTTTGCATTTATTAGAGACGGTTTCACTATGTTGGTCAGGCTGGTCTCGAACTCCTGACCTCAGGGGATCCCCCACCTCAGGCCCCCAAAGTGCTGGGATTACAGGCGTGTGAGCCACCATGCCTGCCAGAATTTCCTTCTTTCTAAAGGGGCTGAATAACTATACTATTGTTGGGATGGACCACATTTTGTTCATTCATTTATTCATTCATGGGCACCTGGATTACATACAACATTTGGCTATTATGAATAATGCTGATATGAACGTGAGTGGACAAATATCTCTTCTTTACCCTGCTTTTGATTCCTTTGAGTATATTCCCAGAAGTGTGATTGCTGGATCATATGGTAAGATCATATGGTAATTCCGATTTAGAATTTTTTGAGGAATTGCCATACTGTTTCTCATAGACATGGTGTCATTTTACATTTCTACCAGCAGGGCACAAGGGTTCCATTTTCTCTACATTCTCACCAACACTTACTATTTTCTGTTGGTTTTAAAATAATAATGAAATTGGCTTTTTTTTTTTTTTTGAGATGGAGTCTCTCTCTGTCGCCCAGGCTGGAGAGCAGTGGCACTATCTCCGCTCACTGCAAGCTCCGCCTCCCAGGTTCATGCCATTCTCCTGCCTCAGCCTCCCGAGTAGCTGGGTCTACAGGTGCCCGCCACCATGCCCAGCTAATTTTTTTTTTTTTGTATTTTTTTGTAGAGATGGGGTTTCACCATGTTAGCCAGGATGGTCTCAATCTCCTGACCTCATGATCCACCTGCCTCAGCCTCCCAAAGTTCTGGGATTACAGGCGTGAACCATTGCGCCTGGCCAAAATTGGCTTTTTTTTTTTTTTTTAAATGCACTATCTTCTATCAATCATTGATAAAGGGAGCTACTTATGAGAGGAGAGGCATTGTTAACCTGCCATGTGATGAACAAAGAGAATTCTGGTAGCCAGGGTGAGCCCGCAAGGAAAGAAAAACAGGTGCTGGCATTTGGAGGTTCACCCATCTGGCAAAAGTGGTGTTGGTGGCAGAAGTGGGACATGGTTGGGCACTGTGTGCCCCTGTGTTCAGCAAAGGTCTGGGTGCCAAACGGATGCCAACAGAACTATTCCCAACATGACATTCTTCTGACAGCAGCATTGGTACAGGGTAGACGCATACTGAATATTTCTTAGACGAATGAATGGATTCTGTTTCTCTGCAGCTTTCTGTCCTCCATGCCCTAAATATGCCAAGTGCCACAACAGCACCCACTGCACCTGTGAACACGGCTTTTGGGCCAGGTCTGGCAGGACATACTTTCATGAGTTCTCTGAGAAGTGTGAAGGTAAAAATGTTAACGGGGTTTTAATTTAATCTCTCATTAGTGATAACTATTCTGTTCCATGTGTCCTCTGCCCAAAACACATAAATCCATAGCCCAAATAAAACTCGTCTCTCTTCAGCAGACTATTTGATAAAGTACAGCCGTCGGCCAGGTGTGCTTGTCCCTGAGTCCTTCAGATGAAGAGCACAAGTATAAGTCTGTGGTCCAGAGCACCTTTTGTCTGTGGGTCCTTTGCTTGAGCCTCAGCTCTGGTCCATTCAGTAGAGAAGGCTGATGTGGTTGGGAGCGGCAAGACACAGAAACATTGCATAAACCAGGATTTTTTTTTTTTTTTTTTTGAGATGGAGTCTCGCGCTCTCGCCCAGGCTGGAGTGCAGTGGCGCCATCTCGGCTCACTGCAAGCTCCGCCTCCCAGGTTCACGCCATTCTCCTGCCTCAGCCTCCCGAGTAGCTGGGACTACAGGCGATCACCACCATGCCCGGCTAATTTTTTGTGTTTTTAGTAGAGACGGGGTTTCACCGTGTTAGCCAGGATGGTTTTGATTTCCTGACCTGGTGATCCGCCCGCTTCAGCCTCCCAAAGTGCTGGGATGACAGGTGTGAGCCACCGCGCCTGGCCTTTTTTTTTTTTTGAGTCAGAGTCTTACTCTGTCACTCAGACTGGAGTGCAATGGCACCATCTCAACTCACTGCAACCTCTGCCTCCCGGGTTCAAGCGATTCTCCTGCTTCAGCCTCCTGAGTAGCTGGGATTACAGGCACACACCATGACGCCCAGCAAATTTTTGTATTTTTAGTAGAGACAGAGTTTCACCATGTTGGCCAGGCTGGTCTTGAACTTCTGACCTCATGTGATCTGCCAGCCTCAGCCTCCCAAAGTGCTGGGATTACAGGCATGAGCCACCACGCCCGGCCAGGCCAGGATTTTAGTAGTGTGGTCTTTCCTCATCTCTCTCAAGCTTTTCTAATAGTGTGCTAACTTACCCTATGTTTATTACCCTGCTATGCACTATGTGTATTAAACTGATTTAGCAAATGGTGTGACTTAAAAACAACATTAAAAACAACATTCCATCCTTATTCTAGTGATTTGATATGTCATCTTTACCATGTTCTAAAGCTCCATAGGTACTTGGGTCTATGTCTGGACTTCTAGTCTATTTCATTAGTCTATTTTTATTTATGCATGCATCAGTACCTCTTTGTTTAGTTGCAGCTTTATACTTTGTCTTAATGTCTGGTTCCCACCTTGTAGTTTTTTCTGGCTGCATCTGCATGATAGCAACAATTTGTCTCTCACCTCATAAAATACACATGTAGATTTTTTAAAATTGGAATTGCATTGGATTTATAAATTAACTTAGGGAGAACATTGATGGACAATGGTTGGGCAATAAAGATTTCATGGGCAAGGGAAATGGTATAATTCTATGAAAATGAAAGCAACACTTTCTCTTGATTCACAGATATTAATGAATGTGAGACCGGGCTGGCAAAGTGCAAGTATGAAGCTTATTGTAAAAATAAAATTGGAGCCTACATCTGTAGCTGTTTGGTAAAACATCCTAGCTTCAACTGGCTGGCTAGTTTGATAGATTATAATCATCCGGATTGTTATGGTAAGAACCTCCAAATACTGTTTTCACTGAAAAATGATGGGGACTTGGGGGAAACTCTGAGAGATTCTCTAATTTTAGGCCAGGGTAAGAGAGTAAAGCTCCATCCTAACCCTCATCCCTCATTCCTCTGTTGTCTTTGATGATATTTTCCAAGATGGTGTCATCCAAGCCTTGGCATCTATAACTATCTCTATATAGATGCTTCCAAATGTATGTGTCCAATACAGGTCTGTTTCCCGAGCTTCCAAAAGGGCACCTTTAAATTTCTTCTGAATTCCTCTATTTATTCATCTCTCACGCATCTTAAATTCAATGTTTATGTCTATCTACCTATCTATTAAATCTGATGAATTCACACTGATACCTCTGGTTCCAGTTCAACATCAAGGCTTGTTGGAACCTTCCCTCTTTCCTTGTTTGTAACTTCCTTCTCCAACAATGAGAAACCCGTCTCTCACTATCCACAATTTATTTATTTGTTTAATTCCAGCATTATTTCACATTTTGGATAAGAGAGATTGGATTTAAGTGCTAAATCTTCCACTTACCATCTGGCTTTCAGTTAATGACTTAATTTCTATATACCTTATCTTTAAATGGGAGTAGTAATATTAATAGTATCTACTGTGTCAGTTACGTGTTGCTGCATAACAAGTTACCCCCAAATTTAGTGGCCTAAAACAACACATATGTATTGTTTCATAGTTTCTTTGGGTTAGGGAACTAAGCATGGCTTAACTGAGTCTTTTGCCTCTGGCTCTATCACAGTTGCAACTGAGGTTTTGTCCACGCTGTGGTTTCATCTGGAGACTCGACTGGGGCAGGTTCTGCTTCCAAGCTACTCACAAGGTTGCTGGGAGAATTTAGTTCCTTCAGAGCTGGTGGACTGAAACCCTCAGTTCATTTCTGGTGCTTGGTGGGAGGCAGCCTTTAGTTTCTAGATATGTGGGTCCCTACAGCTTGCTTTGTTATAGCAAACACATTAGAATAGCCAGAAAGAGAGCATGAATAAGACAGGAGTCATAGTCTTTTATAACCCACTCTCAGAGTGACATCCTATCACGTTTGCTATATTCTGTTCCTTAGAAATGAGTCACTGAGACCAGTCCACAGTCAAGGGAAGATTACCCAAGGATGTGAATGCCAAGAGGCAGGGATTATTTGCAGGCATTTCTGAATCCTTCTTACTGGACTGAATAGTGTTCTCCCCAAATTGATTCCACCTGGAATCTGTGAATATGATCTTATCTGGAAATAGGGTATTTGTAGATGTAATAAGTCAAGATGTGGTTATACGAGATCAAAGTGGACCCTGAATCCTACATGATTGGTGTCCTTATGAGATGAAGGGTATTTGGACATAGAGACACACACAGAGGGAAGATGGCCATGTGAAGACAGAGGTGAAGATTGGAGTTATGCTACCAAAGGGCAAGGAATGTCAGAGACTGATGGCAACCACCAGAGGCTGGAAGAGGCAGGGCAAGGTATTTCCCTGGAGCCTTAAGAGGGAGAATGGTCTTGCTGGCACCTTGATTTGGGCTTCTGGCCTTCAGAACTATGAGACAATACATTTCTATTGCTTTAAGCCACCCAATTTATGTGACTATATTATGGCAACCCCAGGAAATTAATACACTTTACCTATTCATTATTATTATTTTTGAGATGGGGTCTCACTTTGTTACCAGGCTGGAGTGCAGTGATGTGATCTTGGCTCACTGCAACCTCTGCCTCCCAGGCTCAAGCAATCCTCCCACCTCAGCCTCCTGAGTAACTGGGACCACAGGCATATGCCACCACACCTGGCTAATTTTTGCATTTTTCGTAGTGACAGGGTTTCACAATGTTGCCTGCACTGGTCTGGAACTCCTGACCTCAAATGATCCACCCGCCTCGGCCTCCCAAAGTGCTAGGATTGCAGGCGTCAGTCACTGCACCTGGCCCCTACTCATTATTAATGTATGTGAAATACTTAACAGTCCTAGGCACCTAGGAAGAGTCAGTTAATACTGGTTATTATGCTGTATGTGCCTTTTCTACAACTTTCTGTGTTCCTTGAAATGAGATAATATATATGAAGGTACTTTATATACTGTGATGTGTAGACAACTGCTTGTATATTATTAAGTCAATTAACACTGATTTCTTGCATGTCACCCTGATGTGTTGGGATCCTCTGCTATATACTCCCACACCATCATGTCCTATTTATTATTGATTGATTGATTGATTTTGGGAAGTCCTGTTTTATTTTATTTTAGGTATGGATGTTGTATATGTGCAGGTTTGTTGCGTGGGTAAATTGCGTGTCTCTGGGGTTTGGTGTATGAATGTTTCCATCACCCGGGTAGTGGGCATAGTACCCAGTCGGTAGCTTTTCAGCCCTCGTGAGCCTCCCACCCTTTCCCTCTAGTAGTCCCCAGTGTCTATAGTTCCCATCTTTTTGTCCACATGTCATGTTCTATTTATTAAGAGCATCCCTTGCAATTGCTTAATTATTTATTCATAATAACTTGCTTGATGACTTTCATGCCAAACTTCAGATTCCACAAGGGGACACCTTTGTTTCTTTTCCTAGCCTATATCCATATATTTCAGCATTGTGCTTGGTTTTGAGTAGGTGCCCAATAAACAGGGTTGACTAAAGTAATGGGTTGGTGCAAAAGTAATGGCGGTTTTTGCCATTACGTTCAATAGCAAAGATTGCTATGACTTTTACACCAAATCAATATGGAACTGGATGCCCCATTCTAATTCTCTTTTATAATTCTAGTGTGCAATACTTTTTAGGCTTCTTAGAGGGGAATTAGGATGGGCTGCAGAAGTATTAGGGAAAGACTCAACTTGAGGGTGATTGGAGGAAGGGATGCAAGCAGGGTGTATTTTCTCCCACATCTCTTTCAATGACATCTTTTCTTTCACAGAGGACGATAGTCAAGGGACACAGGCAAAAGTGGATATTTGGGTGAGTGGGGTGAAGCCTGGATTTGGGAAACAGCTGGTATGTATAACTATGTCATTCTCCTACCCAAACATTAACATGTCTTCCTGTGATTTTTAGGGCAGGGTAGTTCTATCCAGGGGTAATTTTGTCCTCCATTCCAAGGTTATCTGTGAATGTCTGGGGACACTTTCGGTTGTCATACCTTCGGGGTGATATGTGTGACTGGCATCTGGTGGATAGAGACCAGGGATACAGCTCAACATCCTACAGTGCCTGGGACAGCCTCCCACAATTAAGAAGTTCCTTGTCCAACATGTCCATAGAGAAAGAGAAATACAAGGGTAGGGGGAAAGTGCCTCAGCTGTCATTCAAAGACCTACATCAAGCACCTAGATTCTCAATGCCACACGCACCTTGTAGCACCTTAATAAATATTGTTGCCTTCTGGGCTCCCCACTCCAACACTTGTGCATATTCCTTATTTCTTACATTTCAGTGAGAGTCAATCTAATTAGCTTTATTTTTTTGAAGGAAAATCTGAGAAGAAATGGAAGCAGAGAGGACATTGCAAGACAGGCTACTCAACTAATTCAGAGCGTGGAGTTGAAGATCTGGAATGACAGTTTTGCTTCTCCAGGAAAGGGTCGAATTTCTGACTTAGATGTAGGTAAGAGAGTCTGAGTAGAGTCTTTATCACCCTCCGTAAAGACCATTAAGAGGTCTGGGTCCTGGCTTTGCCAGGGTTTCTGAATGATGAAATCTGTGGGTTTCCAGGATCATAGACCCTCTACACCAACATTCTACATGAGAAGGACTCTGTTTTCAAAAATGCAAATTCAAGGGACAAGAGAATAAACCAGCTCTCTTCTTCTTTTCAGCTTCCCTTGGTATGATGGAAAGTATTTAAGAGCATATTCGCCGTGCCTCCTTGGCTAGAGGATAGAAAAAACCTCGATTATTTTCCTACTCTACTCTCACATAGTAACGAGAACACAGAATACTTCATCTCTGGTCACCAAAATATGTGTGGGCTCATTTTCCACACTGACGGCACAGTTCTCCAGTGGATACCAGCTGGGTGTTCTATAATTCAATTATGACATTATGAATGCTTAATGACTTTCATGCCAAACTTCAGATTCCACAACATTCTCTACCAAAGATGGTGTCAGATCCCATAGGCTGCAGGCTTAATCCCACAAAAGTGTTCTTCACCTCAAATGCCAATCTCAAGTTCTAGGTTGTAACCTGTACGTCCGACTGAGTCCCACAACCCCTTCCTTGGATTTGAGTAATTTGCTAGAGTGACTCACTTAACTTAGGAAAGCACTTTACTTACATTTATCCATTTATTAAAAATATATTACAAATGGGCTGGGTGTGGTGAGTTATGCCTGTATTCTCAGCACTTTGGGAGGCTGAAGCAAGTGGATTGCCTGAGGTCAGGAGTTCAAGACCAGCCTGGCCAACATGGCAAAACCCCATCTCTACTGAAAAAAAAAAAAAGTATCTGGGCGTGGTGTTGTGTGCCTGTAATCCTAGCTTCCCAGGGGGCTGAGGCAAGAGAATTGCTTGAACCCAGGAGGTGGAGGTTGCAATGAGCTGAGATCTCACCATTGCACTCAAGTCTGGGCAAGAGAGCAAGACTCCATCTCTCTCTCTATATATATATAAAATATATTTAAAATATAAATATATATTTATAAATACTATATATATATAAATAAAACAAATGATACAGATGAACAGCCAGATGGAAGAGATGCACAGGGCAAGGCATAGGAGAAGAGGTGCAGAGCTTCTAAGCCCCCTTTAGGGGTGCCACCCCGAGGACCCACATATTTTAAGCTATCTAGAATCTCCTAGACAGCTTAACAAATCTTTTGGATTTGTATGGAGGCTTCATTAGTTAGCCATGATTGGGTACATTATTGGCCATTGATATCAACTCAACATTCAGCCTCCCTCCTCTTCCTGTATCTGGGATGGGGTTGAAACTGAAAGTTCCAACCCTTTAATCTCACCATTGGTTTCTTTGGCAACCACCCCCATCCTGAGGCTATCCAGGAGCTGGCTAAGAGTCACCACATTAGAATAAAAGATGTTTCTATAACCAAGAAAATACAAAGGATTTGAGTTGAGTCACATGCTCCTGTCACTCAGGAAATTACAATGGTCTTAGGGGCGATATGTCAGCAACTTGAGTCCAAGACCAAATATTAGAACAAGAGATTTTCCTAGTGTTCCTACTGCTCAGGAAATGCTAAGGGTTTTAGGAACTCTATATCAGGAACTGTGGTTTCTTCCTAACCTCTGTATCTGTTAATCATTTCAAAGAATCAATTTTTGGCTTTGTTGATTATTTATATTATTATTCCATTTCCTTTTTCTTTAATTTTCTGTATTATTTCTTTCCTTTTACTTCTTTTGGGTCGAACTTGCTTTTCATTTTCTAACTTATTGACTTAGTAATTTGATTACTAATTTTAAACCATTCTCCTTTCCCAATATATGCGTTTAAAGCTTAACACTTAGCTATAAATTAGAGCTATATATTTCCCTCTAAGCACACCTTTAGCTGCATCCTGCAAGTTTTCATATACTGGGCTTTCATTATCATTTAGATCAAAATATTAAAACATTTCCTATGTAATTTATCATTTAACTCATGGTTTATTTAGAAGTGTGTTGCTGAATTACCAAATATTTGTGGCTTTTTAGGGTTTCCTTGTGTTAATGGCCTCATTTAATTTATTGTGGGTTTTAATCAAGAAAGGATGTTGAACTTCGTCAAATGCTTTTTCTACCTCAATTGAGATGATGATTTTATCATCAATTGAGATGGTTTTTATCTTTCATTCTGTTAATGTGATAAATCCTATTGATTGATTTACATATGTTAAACACACTTGCTTACCAGGAAAAAATAGTTGTGATATATACTCTTTGATGAGTTGTCTGAGCAATACTCTGTAGGATTTCAATCCTTTTGAATTCATGAGACTTGATTGATAGTCTATTTTGCAAATTTCCATAGAACTTAGTGTCTGAATTAACAATACCAAATCTGGTGGTATAAGCATGGTAAACATGGCTTAACCATTATTTTTTTAAATAGTTTTAGCATAAGTGAGTCAGGGCTGATGGTAGCAATACCATAGGCAGCTCTATGCTCTGCTGCCTCTATCATTCACCTTCACTTGTGATACAAGACAGCTGTTCTACTATTACACCCTTTTACCAGCCAGTGAAAAGGGGAAAAAATAAGTTGAAAGATGTCTGTTTCCCCTTAGCACAATGCCATTCTGTCTTTTATCCATTGCCTGAAAATTAGTTGGCATGGCTCTGCCTAGCTGCAAGGAAGCTGAAAATGGCTTGTCTTCAGCTTAAATTTATATAGTTCCTAGACCAAAGAAAGAATAGGTAAATGGTGATCACAGGTAATAAGCAGCCTGCCATAGCCTAGGACAGCTTTCTCACTTGCTCAGAGACAAACTCTGGTTATACCCAAAATGTTGAGGGTTGATCTCACAAAATGGGTTTATAGGTTTGATGAATAGTGTTTTACTCAAGGGATTCTTCCCAAATGCAGAAGTTCTGTTCCTAGTGACTATTTTTTTGGGAAAACTTTAAAATGCTTAGCTACTCTTTGCTTATAAAGATTGCATTCGCCCCTAACAAGGCACCTCCAGTACCATTAAGGTCCTGTGGAAACTGCTTAGCTTGCCTATCAGAGTACCAGTTCTGGGAGCATGCCCTTCTCCCTCTCTTCCTTGGGTTGTGGCCAGTGTGTTGGCTAAGGCCATTTTGGCCATCCATTTCTAACCAGCCAAAGGTGGAAAGAAAGTGCCATGTGGCCAACTTGCACAGGAAGATGGAATCACCAATAGGCGGTCTTCCAGAGAAGGGAGTTCTTTAGCAAATTATTTAGGCATGAGGCTTGAGAAACAGGACTGACTTTCTTAATGTTTTCAGTTTATGAAACCAAGAGGTGCAATGAAACAAGGGAGAACGCTTTTCTGGAAGCTGGAAATAACACCATGGATATCAACTGTGCGATGCTTTAAAAAGAACCCCAAGAGGTACAGTGTCTCCAATGAATTCTCTTGACTCTGAATTCTATGCATCATTGTTTATTTCTAGGTGATTAAACCCCGGGGTGGGAATTCACAAAGCTTTTCAGGTAGGGAGATTCTACATGGTAGAATCAAAAAGATCTTCCTTGACCACTAACTAGGCATTTTGCAGAGGAGAAGTCGGGTTGCCATATGGGGTGTGTACTTTGTGATATACACAAAAGTTTGCACAGGGATTCCTTGAAATGCCTCCTGAAAAGGGACTGGTTGGGCCGGGCACAGTGGCTCATGCCTGTAATCCCAGCACTTTGGGAGTGTGAGGCGGGCGGATCACAAGGTCAGGAGTTTGAGACCAGCCTGGCCAACATGGAGAAACCCCATCTGTACTAAAATTACAAAAATTAGCCAGGCGTGTTGGTGCGTGCCTGTAATCCCAGCTACTCAGGAGGATAAAGCAGGAGAATTGCTTGAACCCAGAAGGCGGAGGTTGCAATGAGCCGAGATGGCACCATTGCACCACAGCTTGGGTGACAGAGTGAGATTCTACCTCAAAAAAAAAAAAAAAAAAGGACCAGCTGATGCATACCGTTTCCATGTGATGGTCTGAAAAGGTAACACTCAATAGTGTCAGATTGCCTTGAACACTTCCTTGAGAAGCGTTTATGAACACCCTTTTTAAGAGAGCCATCCCGTCTTGTTCTTTACCACAGATTGGAAAACAAATGTTCTCTACAAGGTTCAGAGAGTAAATATGTTAGGCCTTTTGTTCCAGATGACCTTTGTTATAACTACTCAACTCTGCCATCAGAGTGTGAAAGCAGCCATTGATGATGTGTCAGTGAAGGAGTGTGGCTGTGTGCCAATAAAACTTTATTTACAAAAGCAGGCGGCAGGCTGGGTTTTACCCTCACAGCATGGTGTTTCACCCCCACTTTATCTCATCTCCTGAAGTCTCTGTAAAGCTCCTGCACTATGTACTTTTTTCTAATGTATTTATTTGTTGGTGGCCCATCTCTCTCACTATGACATCAGCTCTCTGATGGCAGGGGTTTTGTCTGTTTTGTTTGCTGCTGTATAATAATTCCTAGAATGTCTGGCACACAGTAGAGGATAAAAAAATATTTCCCCGAAAGATAAATGAATGAATGTATATAAACTATTTCAAAGAGAAAAACCTGGTTACCTTAAAAATGAAATATCTGCTGCATTTCCTCCAAAAATTCCTGGTTACTTGTCAATCTTCGCTCCTTACTATAGCTATAGAGTAGGGGAAGGGAGGAAAGGGATCTAAAAACAAGTTGATTTTGTTGTTGTTGAGACCGAGTCTCACTCTGTTGCCCAGGCTGGAGTGCAGTGACGCAATCTCGGCTCACTGCAGCCTCTGCCTCCCGAGTTCAAGCAATTCTCCTGCGTCAGCCTCCCAAGTAGCTGGGATTATAGGCACCCACCACCACGCCCAGCTAATTTTTGTATTTATAGTAGAGACGGGGTTTCGCTGTATTGGCCAAGGTGGTCTCGAACTCCAGACCTCAGGTGATCCACCCACCTTGGCCTCCCAAAGTGCTGGAATTACAGGCGTGAGCCACCATGCCCAGCTGAGTTGATTTTTTTTAATGGAGCAAATAGGAATACAGATGATATGTAGCTTTGGTCAAAAATGGGATGGTAGCACGTGGACAACTGCAATTTGGGTAACACCCCATCACACGGGCATCCTGTGTGCACTGCACCTCCATGATTTTTTTTTTTTTTTTTTACCATGGGTGGAGTCAAAAGATCTTCCCTTGACCACTACTAGGCAATTTTGCAGAGAGAAGAGCGGGTTTCCATATGGGGTGTGTACTTTGTGATATAACACAAAAGTTTGCACAGGGATTCCTTAGACCTACCTGAGTTCCACGTGTCCTTCTGAGGACAAGCATCTTGCCTCAACAACTCTGGTTATAATGCTCCAGGGCTCGTATATATTTTAGGACTCTGATGAGCATATTTTGCACATAAACCGCTTATAATATGTGGGGGCATTATAATACATCTTACATAAAACAAAAATGCTGCACCCCAAGCGCACACACAGTGTTCTGAATGGCATTTTAAGGATTTCG